TGGGTGAGGCAAAGACAAAATGTAACCAAAATGTTTGTACCTTCATAATACCCTCAAATAAAAAAATAAAAAAGAATAAAAAAGAAAATTGGCTTTTGTCCAATCTTATGAAAAATGCAAGATAACTATACAAACACAGTGACTAGGACTCTGTAATATGGAAGAAGTTGGGGGTAGGGTGGGACGTGGTGATTGGGTAGGCAACCGAAGTTGTTTGCCACAGATGTCTTTCAAGCAAACGCTTTCAGAAATATTTTAACCTAGGAAGATATTAGGTTTTGACACAGTCTTCTATTTTATTTCCCCTTGATTTTGGTGTGTTTTGCAGCTGCTGAAGGAATGGTGTGCAATCATCTGTGTTCAAGCGATGGCTGCTGGGGCTCTGGGCCGGACCAGTGCCTGTCGTGCCGCCGCTTCAGCAGGGGAAGGATTTGCATAGAGTCTTGTAACCTCTATGACGGGTAAGGCTTCTTACAATGTTGACTTCACCTCATGAGCTGCAAAGAACTGATTAGCTCAGATTTTAAAATTACAAGAAAATTTCAGAATTTGTCTGCAGGCCAAGATTTTTAAGGAGAACTCTTGTTGCATAAGGAGGACAACACATAGAAGAATTGTTTTGAAAATAAATAATTTTATTTAAAATAACAAGACAAATCTCTCTCTATATATTTACTATATTTGCATTTTATAAAATATATCCTAAGAGAATCCTTAATAAATTACATCAATTTATACTTAAGCAAAATTGAAAAATGTATTCCAATTTTCCTTGGGAAGGAGATTGTTATGAGTAATTTTCCCTTCCCTCACTCCCAATATTTTTTTCCTCTCATACTTTTCTATTAATTTTAATCTGGAACTACTGCATAACTTTCGATATTTTTCCCACTCAGGTTGTACATCTATTTGTGTATTAGGAACGGCCCATGTTTCTACATTCTTGACAACTGCTTAGCCTTATAGAAAAACTACCATTGTAGTTTTCTAGTTCAAGAGGTTTTTGAACATATTCTGCTACTTTGTAGATAACCTAAGCAGTATTTTAAATCAAGTATTTTAAATTCCCTCTTATACTACAAAAATCACATTGCCAATTGTAAAACCAGGTATATACCCAGTTGCATGACATTGTATAGATGCATAAAAATCACTTTATCATGATATACCACTGAATGAATCATTCCTGTCCTCCATTAGTGTGATAATGAATTCTTTTAGTACTATTCCTAAGCCAAGATTTTTTTATATTGCTCACTGAAAGTATTTTCAATAGTTTTGTAAAGTGTAGTTTTGAAGTTCTTTATTCCATTTCTTATTGTGCCTCATGAATTGTCCCATTTTAACAGCTATTCATTATCCCCAATAACATTGTAGTTTTGCATTTTGTATGAGAAGAATAAAAACCTATGGATCATAATAATATTGATGTATCTCTTCTTTGAAAGAGGACCAAATCCAATTCCCTCAATGCATGTATTATCTTGATTGTGGATCTGGTTCATGATGACATACATATGTCAAAACTTATCAAATGGTATACTTTATATATGAGTATGTTATTTATCATATATACCTCAAAAATACCTGCTACACATGCACAAGCATTCCTCTCTTAAAGTATACTGGAAGAGATTATTCAATTGGTTATAAAGTGAAAAGATTTGTTGACAGATCTAAGTTTGCCTTGAGAAAAAAATTTATTATCTAGCTTAACATAGGGGCCTTTTTACAGTCCCAGGATATATAACAAACATAATATGAATTGGGAGATTTGTTTCGCTGTTTTATTATAAAACTAGCCAGGATCACAGATGCAGGCAATACACTCTCAAGCGTATGTTAGAGAACTTTCACAGATTTCACAGATACGATCCCCTGCTTATATTAATATTACACTAACATATTCAGTCCCATCCCAACTCAACTCAAATGTTCTTGCCATAAAATTG